AAAACAGAAACAAGAATCGACAAATTAAACAAAGAAGATGTTAAACCTGCAGCCTCAAAAACAAAGAGGACACAATTCAAACTAATAAAACAAACGCGCCTTGAAAACATAAGAAAGTTCACTTTCACAGAATGATAGACGGTTGGAACACGTTAAGTGAGAAGGTGGAGGCCAAGACCGTCAGTAGTTTCAGAGCGTTATATGACAAAGAGTGCTGGGAAGACGGGACACTACGAGTGTAGCTCTCATCCTGTAACTACACTTAGGTAATTACCTGAGTGTAGACGGGTATTTCTTTCACCTAAGTGTGTGTCTTACCCACACCTGAGCAAGGTGGGCATCTTGTAAAAATAGCATTATGTGTACCAACTGAAATTGAAATAAGTTTATCGAGGTAAAAATACACACAGAAATGAGGTAGCCTATTCTCACTCCATTCAGTACAACGTGTTCATATATACAGACACACATCACAACATATTACTGAACATTCTGAGTGATAAACATAATTTCTTTGTAATTTCTTGTAATTCTTCTTATCATCTGGTACCTTCCAAACTCGGTGTAAGTTATTTTAGGTACTTATAGCTCATCATGGTTTAGCTGGTGGTGGTGTAACTACTAAATCAATAAATCATTTTATATTCAAGTCTATATATCAATATTATTCATAAATCATTTATCATGCACTATTTTTTATATATACAAGAGTTGTTACATTCTTGTACAGCCACTAGCACTGATTTCTACCCGAGGCTTCCGTATTGACAGGGATCACAGAAACAAGGATGAGTTAAATACACAAAGATATATATATATATATATATATATATATATATATATATATATATATATATATATATATATATATATATGTGTGTGTGTGTAATTGACGGTCACGAAACACTGATCATTTGTATGCGGAAAGTTCAGAAAGAAATGTGAAAGGAAGAGTAACGTTTCGGCCGCTGTACAGCCGTTGTCAAGACCAGACTGACCAGGAGAAACACAGGGAGGGTTCAGGTCAACACCTGAATATGACCACATATCCCCAGGTAAAGAATTACCCAGAAGCAGGTATAGATTTACCTTAGAATAATAGGATTAAGCGGTCAGAGAATAAGGATGAAAGCTTAAAGCCTCAATAACACAATATATGAATATAATATTGAAATGAGACATAGTAACCCTATCAGAGTTTTTTCTTAAACTGTTGTGCAATATTGTAACTTAAAAATGGATCAAGTTTGTACATTCCAGTACTATCATTGAGAAGATTTAGACACTGATTAGAGCAGACTCAATCAAATTCCGTTCCACGAAACCACCACAATTGGTAATGCTTTTCGCCCCATTCCACTTAATAGTGTGATCACATAAACTCGTGTGTAGATACAATGCACTAGACGTTTTGGCAGTTCTAATACTATAAGCATGTTGTGACAACCGCAATTGTAAGGACTTTCCTGTTTGTCCAAGGTACACAGAATCACAATCATTACAGGGAATCGAATACACACAACCTGCTGTACCAGGGGATTTTTTTATTAAATTGTACTTGATTGTACTATTAGTGAACACCAAATTGATATTAAGTTTCTTAAAAACCGGAGACAGTTTTTCAAGCCTCATCGCATGAGGTACCGCCAATGAGTTACTAATTTCTGGTTTCGCTCTGGGAACGTGATTATAAAACGTACGCTAAGCTTGTCCGGACGAGCAATCCAAAAACATCTTAGGATATTGTAAACTCTTCGTAATTTCATATATTTTAGTAATCTCTTCATCAAAAAACTCTGGGCTGCATACCCTCTTAGTCAGTCTGGTCTTGACAACGGCCGAAACGTTCATCTTCCTTTCCCATTTGTTTGTGAATTTTCCGCATATATATATATATATATATATATATATATATATATATATATATATATATATATGTATATATATATTTAAGATCTAATATAATAGGAAGGGAGTACCACCTCTAGCTGGAAGAAGGGGGACCCATAGCCTCGGAGGAAACCACGCATAACGCATTAGAGGGAATGTTTAGATCCCCTCCAATACAGTTTCTGTGTGCTTTTCTCCTACCACCCCCTTCCTTGAATATTTTTTGTGCTTTATTATGCATTTGATGGTTACAAGATATACATGGGTTGATACAAAAACAATAATGCAAAAAGGTGCTTAAAGGTTATGGATCTCTTGAAGAACACAACAATGGGAAACATTGATGAATGTCACAGACGGGTTCGATCATTGTTGCAAGTCAAACACTTCTTCGAATTCCTCTGAAGTTGGACTAGTGCCCAAGACGCAACAGGCATTTCCCCTCTGAATCGCAACACTGAGGCGCTGGAACAAGAAACTTTTTGCTCTCTGGTCTTTTGTAGTGCTGATCAATTTGTCCCCCAATTCCTTCAGGAACTTCAATGCACATTTTCCCCACGAACCGAGGGTCTCCGAGCCGATCGGAACAAAGCTGTAGCAGTGTGCTAGACCTCTGTATTTAATATTTAATAGACCTCTGTATTGTATATATATATATATATATATATATATATATATATATATATATATATATATATATATATATATATATATATATATATATATATATATATATATATATATATATATAAATATATATATATATGTATATATATATATATATATATGTATATATATATATATATATATATATATATATGTATATATATATATATATATGTATATATATATATGTATATATATATATATATATATGTATATATATATATGTATATATATATATATATATGTATATATATATATATATATATATATATATATATATATATATATATATGTCGTACCTAGTAGCCAGAACTCACTTCTGAGCCTACTATGTAAGGCCCGATTTGCCTAATAAGCCAAGTTTTCATGAATTAATTGCTTTTCGACTACCTAACCTACCTAACCTAACCTAACCTAACTTTTTCGGCTACCTAACCTAACCTATAAAGATAGGTTAGGTTAGGTTAGGTAGGGTTGGTTAGGTTCGGTCATATATCTACGTTAATTTTAACTCCAATAAAAAAAAATTGACCTCTTACATAATGAAATGGGTTGCTTTATCATTTCATAAGAAAAAATTTAGAGAAAATATATTAATTCATGAAAACTTGGCTTATTAGGCAAATCGGGCCTTGCATTGTAGGCTGAAAAGTGAGTTCTGGCTACTAGGTACGACATATATATATATATATATATATATATATATATATATATATATATATATATATATATATATATATATATATATATATATTGGTACTCAGAACGAAGTGTCCATGCAGCACGGGCTATAGTGAACCCGTAAGGGGACAGTGCCTCGGCGTATTGGATATATATACCATTAAAGTGGTAAGATACATAAAAACAAAAAGGAAGAATAGGACATAAATGGGGGGAAGGATAGGGGACATAAATAGGGGAGGAACCATATACAAAGATTAATTAGGTGTAGTGGCATGTTGGGCAGTGTCTTCAATGTTGGCATCTTCACGTTCCGGTCTTGTTCTTACTCTCATGGTGGGTAGCTTACTCTCATGGTGGGTAGCTTACTCTCATGCTGGGTAGAGTGAATTGAAATTGAAATTGAAATAAGTTTATTGAGGTAAAATACACGTGAAGGGATGAGGTAGCTCAAGCTATTCTCACCCCGTTCAGTACAACGTGTTAGTACATACATAGACACACATCACAAACAATAAACCTGTTACCAAACATTCTGAGAGATAAACATGTACATTTCCTCCTTCACAAGTGGTATGGTATCAGACGTACACACAAATACTTTTATGACCTAGTTATAGTTCCGTAATTTGGATGTTTATGGTGGATTGTTCTATTTTATGTATTTCTCTTCCAATTAAACCCAGATGCAAGAGCACTAGTCAGAGGGATAGAAGCCCTGAACAAGAAAATAATCAATTGAGAATATGTAGTTATATACAATGTAACAAGTACAAAGGAAAACCTGCTGTTGTAGGTTTTCTTAAAACTGTAAAAATATATAGTCGATGTTGACCAGACCACATACTAGAAGGTGAAGGGACGACGACGTTTCGGTCCGTCCTGGACCATTCTCAAGTCGACAATCGACTTGAGAATGGTCCAGGACGGACCGAAACGTCGTCGTCCCTTCACCTACTAGTGTGTGGTCTGGTCAATATTTCATTGAAACTATGCTCTCCTAAGCCTAAAATAGTGCACGTATATATCAATTTCATTAAGTCTATAATTGCGTATATTAGTCTTGTAATTGCTTATGTAAAACCAAAGATAATTTAAATTATTCTCTTTAATACCATTTAGCTTTCCAATAGTACACACGAGGAGTGTGTGGAGCACCAGTTTAATAACTGTGTTGAGTCCAGGCTGGAACCGTTTCTTTCACCTAATACATCTCTTCACCGGCAGTAATTATATAACCGGGAAGAAGGTACCGTGGGGTTCCGTCTTGGGGGAGAGTCAGTAGTTCCACCTTCGGGGCGTCGTGGTACAAGCGTTAAGTAGTTAAGTATATAATGGTAAGTTGTACAGTTGCTTTAAATAATATAAATGTTGGAGGATGGGTTGATATTAAATTATTCGCTGCTCTATTCGCTATTTTCCAGGGTAGAGATTTTAGGCCACTAAACAGCGTGTGAACAATTGACATTGTGGCAGTCAATAGTAACAACAGCCTAATGGCGCGGTCAAATTGTCACAAATCGTCATTTGGCGTTATATAATGTTTACACAATACGGGGAACTACTTTGTCGAGCGGAGGAATACAATGTGATGTGAAGTCCTTGTTTACAAACAATTCAGGGGACTAGAGTAAACTCTTTTAAGAGTTAATTGAGCATCTCATCACCCTTAAAGCCTGATTGAATTGCTTATATTAGGTAAAGGTGTATTTAGGTCAATAAAGTTGGTGTAATAGTAACGGAGTGTTGTTGTCTCCCGACAGACATGATGAGCGCCTTCCCCTACCCGGCCATGTTGGGGGTGCAGCACCTGATGGGCGGAGACCTGCGCCCCTCCCAGCTGGGCCCCGCCCGCCGCCCAGACCACGACCCCACCACCACGCCCACGCCATATTACCACCGCGACCTCCACCACGCCCACGCCAGGGACGACCATGCGGCTTCCCGCGACTCTATGCAACTACTCCGCAACGACCTTCTTGGACTCAATCGCAGTCACATGGTTGCGCGGGACATGGCGGGCGCGGCGCCTCAGGAGGACCCGGGGGCCGCACGGAGCATGCCCACGCTCCAGCCTCTGGAACATTCCATGGCAGGCAACATAGAGAACCAGGACCCCGCCAGTGGGCGCGGCTCCCCCGCCGTCAAGGAAGAACGCGACCCCCGCGACGACAACACGACCGGCTCCTGTAGCGACGACGAGTTGCCCCGCGGCCCCGGGGGGCCTCCGGGAGCCCTACCATCTGGCACTAAAAAAATCCGCCAGCAGAAACATGTAAGACTTTCTGTCAATGCCCGCGAGCGACGACGCATGCACGACCTAAACGACGCCCTGGATGAGCTGCGATCAGTTATCCCCTACGCCCACTCCCCCTCCGTCAGGAAGCTCTCAAAGATTGCCACACTTTTACTGGCCAAGAATTTCATCCTCATGCAATCCAACGCCATTGAAGAGCTGCGGCGGGTGGTGACTTACCTCAACCAACCTGGCGCCCATTTGCCGCATTTGCCACCCTCAGTGGCCTTCGATACCGGCAGCAGCCTGGGGAGTGAGGCCGTCCTGCCCACAACACCAGGCTTCCCCCGCCTCCCCCCACAGCCCCACAATGCCCCTCGCAGCACTAAGCTGCAACAGCCGCTCTTTAACGACCCTTCGCCACCCTTCAAGTCCCAGTCATAACTATGGTTGGGCAGCAGGAGGCGGTGAGGGCGCTAGTGAGGTGCCACGTCTAGTGAGGCACTAGTGAGGTACCACGACTAGTGAGACACTAGTGAGGTACAACGACTTGTGAGACACTAGTGAGGTACCACGACTAGTGAGGCACTAGTGAGGTACCAGGGACTAGTGAGGCACTAGTGAGACACTAGTGAGGTACCACGTCTTGTGAGACACTAGTGAAGCACTACTGAGGTACCAGAGACTTGTGAGGCACTAATGAGGTACCAGGACTAGTGAGCCCCAACACCACTCAGCAGGAGGTCAGCAGGTCGTGCACTCGCCGCCTCTCTCGAGCGTTGACACAAAGTCTTGCCGGAAGCCCCATGAAGAGCGCCGTTATCCTCCCCACCAACACAACCACTCTCTCACCACATTACCTACACTCTACCACCCTTACCACCAGGGCGACACATTCACCAAGCACTTACGCCAGCACTTACGAACCTGGGACCAGATTCACGAAGCACTTACGAACCTGGGACCAGATTCACGAAGCACTTACGCAAGCACTTACGAACCTGGGACCAGATTCACGAAGCACTTACGAACCTGGGACCAGATTCACGAAGCACTTACGAACCTGGGACCAGATTCACGAAGCACTTACGCAAGCACTTACGAACCTGTACATCTTTTCTCAATCTTTGGCGGCTTTGTTTACAATTATTAAACAGTTAATGAGTTCCGAAGCACCAGGAGGCTGTTTATAACAATAACAACAGTTGATTAGCAAGTTTTCATGCTTGTAAACTGTTTAGTAAATGTAACCAAAGCCGTCAGAGATTGAGGAATGATGTACACGTTCGTAAGTGCTTGCGTAACTGCTTCGTGAATCTGGTCCCAGATCCTTTACTTTATCCACACGTTTCATATCCCAGCTCTTAGTCTGTCTAATATCCCAGGATTTTGTCTGCTTACTGTCCCTTCATGTGCTATATAGCCATATTGGCTTAGCGACTGCTCCTCATACTTCGCTTATCAACCTCTATGCCCCCCCTCCATATGATTATTTTGCGTTTATGTTTACGCGTGCGTCAAGGATTGCGTCCTCAATATGCGTCAAGAATTGCGTCCCTGCACGCACGCGGGCACCCCACACCCCCGACGCAGGTCGTGGGCTGGTCCCCTCCTCCTAACACCCCCTTCCTCAACTGACTCGAATAGCCAAAATGAGAGAGCTTGTGAAATGTGTTCGAGCCTCCGCATGGTGGTGGGAGCTGGCAGAATGAGTTGGCAAAATCGTCAGTGTGTCAGATCAGTGTGTGTGTGGAGCCACAGCAGTGTGTGTGGAGTCACAGCAGTGTGTGTGGAGCCACACCTGTGTGTGTGGAGCCACACCAGTGTGTGTGGAGCCACACATGTGTGTGTGGAGCCACATCTGTGTGTGTGGAGCCACACCTGTGTGTGTGGAGCCACACCTGTGTGTGTGGAGCCACACCTGTGTGTGTATGGAGCCACAGCAGTGTGTGTGGAGCCACAGCAGTGTGTGTATGGAGCCATACCAGTGTGTGTATGGAGCCACACCAGTATGTGTGGAGCCACACCAGTGTGTGTGTGTGTAGGAGCCACACCAGTGTGTGTGGAGTCACACCTGTGTGTGTGTGTAGGAGCCACACCAGTGTGTGTGGAGTCACACCTGTGTGTGTGTGTAGGAGCCACATGAGCCAGTGTGGCGAGGTAGCATCGTATGTGTGCAATATTGTCCAGAATATACATGTAATTTTTCACGCAGAAATTCTAGTTAATTTTTAGCTCCCCTTGCACAAGAATACATGTGTCCTTTGTATATAATGATAAAAGTATTGTATGTATTGTATATTGCAAAATCATGAATAAAGTGATGTTATTAATACGCTGGAGTTTATTCATCTTTCAAATAAACTACTGTATTACCTGAGTTAGGTAATTGACTCACCTGAGGTGCAGAGACTCCCTGAAACCCTTTTCATGTAATTCTGAGGCTGTTTAATGGGCTCGAACCCCCATTCCTGATCTCCCCGGGATGAGGTGTGTCTTGGGAGACCAGCTACGCAGGTTCGATCCTACTGTATGCCTCCACATAGTTGCATAAATGCATCCTTTCTCATGCACTCAACATGCAATACTGCATCTATCTCCATATGATGAACAGACTGCTATGAACATTCTCTGATGAACAAGATGAAGAACCCTGTCCTAGGAGACTGGGTCATACTGATCAACTAGCCTCTGATGACTCTTTATCACATTGCCTTTCTCATACCTCTGGAGGGTTATTAAGGTCTATCAACCTCTAAAGGGTTAAGGTCTATCAACCTCTGGAGGGTTGTTAAGGTCTATCAACCTCTGGAGGGTTGTTAAGGTCTATCAACCTCTGGAGGGTTATTAAGTCCTATCAACCTCTGGAGGGTTATTAAGGCCTGTCAACCTCTGGAGGGTTATTAAGTCCTATCAACCTCTGGAGGGTTATTAAGGTCTCTGGAGGGTCAACCTCTGGAGGGTTATTAAGGCCTGTCAACCTCTGGAGGGTTATTAAGGCCTGTTAACCTCTGGAGGGTTGTTATGAGGCCTGTCAACCTCTGGAGGGTTGTTAAGGTCTATCAACCTCTGGAGGGTTGTTAAGGTCTATCAACCTCTGGAGGGTTGTTAAGGTCTATCAACCTCTGGAGGGTTATTAAGGAGGGTTATTAAGGTCTATCAACCTCTGGAGGGTTATTAAGGTCTATCAACCTCTGGAGGGTTGTTAAGGTCTATCAACCTCTGGAGGGTTGTTAAGGTCTATCAACCTCTGGAGGGTTGTTAAGGTCTATCAACCTCTGGAGGGTTATTAAGGTCTATCAACCTCTGGAGGGTTGTTAAGGTCTATCAACCTCTGGAGGGTTATTAAGGTCTATCAACCTCTGGAGGGTTGTTAAGGTCTATCAACCTCTGGAGGGTTGTTAAGGTCTATCAACCTCTGGAGGGTTGTTAAGGTCTATCAACCTCTGGAGGGTTGTTAAGGTCTATCAACCTCTGGAGGGTTGTTAAGGTCTATCAACCTCTGGAGGGTTGTTAAGGTCTATCAACCTCTGGAGGGTTGTTAAGGTCTATCAACCTCTGGAGGGTTGTTAAGGTCTATCAACCTCTGGAGGGTTGTTAAGGTCTATCAACCTCTGGAGGGTTATTAAGGTCTATCAACCTCTGGAGGGTTATTAAGGTCTATCAACCTCTGGAGGGTTATTAAGGTCTATCAACCTCTGGAGGGTTATTAAGGTCTATCAACCTCTGGAGGGTTGTTAAGGTCTATCAACGTCTGGAGGGTTATGAAGACCTATCAACCTCTGGAGGGTTATTAAGACCTATCAACCTCTGGAGGGTTATTAAGACCTATCAACCTCTGGAGGGTTATTAAGACCTATCAACCTCTGGAGGGTTATTAAGACCTATCAACCTCTGGAGGGTTATTAAGACCTATCAACCTCTGGAGGGTTATTAAGACCTATCAACCTCTGGAGGGTTATTAAGACCTATCAACCTCTGGAGGGTTATTAAGACCTATCAACCTCTGGAGGGTTATTAAGACCTATCAACCTCTGGAGGGTTATTAAGACCTATCAACCTCTGGAGGGTTATTAAGACCTATCAACCTCTGGAGGGTTATTAAGACCTATCAACCTCTGGAGGGTTATTAAGACCTATCAACCTCTGGAGGGTTATTAAGACCTATCAACCTCTGGAGGGTTATTAAGACCTATCAACCTCTGGAGGGTTATTAAGGTCCTATCAACCTCTGGAGGGTTATTAAGACCTATCAACCTCTGGAGGGTTATTAAGACCTATCAACCTCTGGAGGGTTATTAAGACCTATCAACCTCTGGAGGGTTATTAAGACCTATCAACCTCTGGAGGGTTATTAAGACCTATCAACCTCTGGAGGGTTATTAAGACCTATCAACCTCTGGAGGGTTATTAAGACCTATCAACCTCTGGAGGGTTATGAAGACCTATCAACCTCTGGAGGGTTATGAAGACCTATCAACCTCTGGAGGGTTATTAAGGTCCTATCAACCTCTGGAGGGTTATTAAGACCTATCAACCTCTGGAGGGTTATTAAGACCTATCAACCTCTGGAGGGTTATTAAGACCTATCAACCTCTGGAGGGTTGTTAAGACCTATCAACCTCTGGAGGGTTATTAAGACCTATCAACCTCTGGAGGGTTATGAAGACCTATCAACCTCTGGAGGGTTATTAAGACCTATCAACCTCTGGAGGGTTATTAAGACCTATCAACCTCTGGAGGGTTGTCAAGACCTATCAACCTCTGGAGGGTTATCAAGTCCTATCAACCTCTGGAGGGTTATCAAGGCCTAAACATTGGAGAAATTCTAATAAACAAATGCAGCACCAATATTCAAAACATTATCAATCTATAGAGTAGCAAACACTGGTACAACATTCCATACAAAATAGCGGCAACCAAATATGAGAATTAATCAAGGTAAAACTATAAACACTCACTTGACTACAATGTTGCCACACTGGCCACATCCGAATATGGTCAACCGTCCACACGGAGAATCTACCTCAGAAACCTAACCCAAAAGCCTCATACAATATAATGCAACTCAGGCACCCTACAGCATGCTATAATATATAATATACAAAATCTTATATCATACAACTGGATGCAATATTAATTAGAGAACAAGACAATAAAGTAATATGAGAATCAAGAGTAATGGCAGAATCCTAGTGAGATTCTTAACAGTGGTGATGGTGGTAGTGGAGAGGTGGCGATAACGAGCAGGTAACGAGGACTAACAGGACTTAACAACCCATTCACACACTTATGACGTAATGATTATCCTCTTAAGGCGGCCGAGTCCAATCACTTGGGGCCTGGAGGGTAGAGCGACGGTCTCGCTTCATACAGTTCGTCGTTCATTACCCCCGACCGTCCACAAGTGGTTGGGCACCATTCCTTTCCCCCGTCCCATCCCTAATCCGCATCCTGACCCCCTTCCCAGTGCTATATAGTCGAAATGGCTTGGCGCTTTCCCCTGCTAATTAAGAAACAATTAAGGCGGGCATGGGGCCGCCATAACTGCTGCTCCATGACTGGTGGAGGTTGGAACAACCAACTCAAGGTTGGTTGTTCCAACCATAAACTAACCTAACCTAACCTAACCTAACCTAACCTAACCTAACCTAACTAACCAACCCAGAAAGCACAGGGTTGGCATACTGAAGAGGGAAATATGATGAAATTTTTCCTATGGTTTCCTATATTTCCTATATTTTCCTATGGGAGCCGGTCGGCCGAGCGGACAGCACGCTGGACTTGTGATCCTGTGGTCCTGGGTTCGATCCCAGGCGCCGGCGAGAAACAATGTGCAGAGTTTCTTTCACCCTATGCCCCTGTTACCTAGCAGTAAAATAGGTACCTGGGTGTTAGTCAGCTGTCACGGGCTGCTTCCTGGGGGTGGAGGCCTGGTCGAGGACCGGGCCACAGGGACACTAAAGCCCCGAAATCATCT